CGCGAGGGTTGTTACTTTACAATGCGCTATTGATATCGTTATCAATTCGCAGAACGAAGAGCAATGATGTTATCAGACCAGCTGTTTAACTTTCAAATGTTCTCGCATTAGAATCTTTGAATCATGAGATTATAAGGGAATTTATGAAAGCAAGTCATGGCAAGAGCGAAATTTAGACTGTATCAAAACCATTTTAGAATCACATCCTATGATTTCCATACCAGTGTCCCAATTGTTGAGGAATAAGTTTTCGAAAGTTAAGGTCACATTTTCATGAGACGAGTCTGCGAGACAGGTAATCAAGGAGATTTGAGGCGCCAAGGCGAAAGATTATAATTGGAGAGGAGAGACCATAAAGGACGGGTGAGACGCAGACACTAATGCATCGGCAATGGTGGATGCACATAAAGGGGGTGTACATGGATGCACAAACTAGTAATCATTGATGACAAGCCACTCACGCCCTTGTCATGCACTTCGAGTAGCGCTAGCGCTATTACCTCCAAGGTGCAAACCAAACTGCCTTAAAGGCAGTGGCCACAGGTCTAGAGGGCGGAACGGTTATGGTGAAGTCAATGAGTATGACTGGCGTAGGCGTTGGAAGGGGTTTCAAGCAGATCCACAGCAGCCTGAAGCGCCCGGTACTCGATGACGTCCAGTGTCGTCATTAACCCTTTGACGACCGCCGTTATGAATGCGTCACTTCACTTCTTTCTAAATTTTTTCATCAATAATCATTAACTCTCCAACAATTTCACTATTAGTAATTAGCGCATTATTCCGCGAATTCGATGATGTATTTGTGTAGTTTTGAAACATAAAAATGCCAAAATAAACCCCTAAAAACGTGTCGCCACCGAGCGAAAGTGTGGCCCACCGGCGGGCCACACGGTCGTCAAAGGGTTAAAACCGTCCTACTCTCCAGTCGTCGTATTCACTGACTCTAAGGCCACATTTTCGAGCACACTAAATATCTCCCTTCAAAAATTTCCATGTTCTGTTATATTAGAGTCTAAAGTCAGACTGCATTAAGGATTACTGATCGCTATGCTAAAAATTACCAGGTAACAGCAAACGCTTTCTCCAGTCATTTCCAGTTCCCTACAGTGTCCTAGGGATTAAGGATTAATGATAAGGGAAAGTCGTTGGCTTAGTGTATTAACACTTTCTGAAGTGATGGAGTAGTTCTTCAGTATCTATCCAGGATTAGTGCTTGCCCTTTTTCAAACCTTAGTGTGATAAGCGAGGAATCTGCTTGCCTCGTCGCGGGACGAAAAAATTTCTAAAACCGTGCTTAGGAATTTTTGGAGATGTTCGCAAGGGGTACAAATCATAGTCGTCGCTTTCCGATGTCTTCGCACTGTTGGGCATAATTGATGGATAAAATTCAAAGAGTTTAATTCCAAGAATTTCTACATCGGCTGGTTTCCGAAAGTCGTTGTATAGGCCAAATCACATTCAAGATACCACCGCGACTCTGAATGGGAAAAGAATGCGTGGCGCATCTCAAAAAGGGATCAATCACCACCGAATACTTCGCGCTTTTGTGCTAACGCTTTTACAGTCTTCAGAGTGTGTGTGCTTCAAGGAACTCTCAACGCCAGGATAGGATCAGCAGTGCACTTTAGAGGGAAGAAGGGATTTTTAGAGATTTGACAAATATTTGAAACTTTTTACAAAGCTTAGGATTCGTTTTATATTTGTATGTGTATTTATATTGTAGTCAATGTTTGTTCAACTCACGATTCATTGGTCAAGGAGTCGAATACATGGTGAATTCTATGTATGATAAGCCACCCGTACCAGCCAATAATCAGCAAATGTGAAAATAATTAAAACCAATCGATCGATAACATTAGCGACGTAGGACCAGTCGGAAGAAATCTGTAAGTACAACTTCTATTGGGCAACCAAGATTTTCTTCGGATTTTGCATGTAAGAAACAGTAACTCTTTGGGTAGCCTATGAACTTATGTATGTTTTCTCAGAACTGGCGCACTTGTCTTCCTTCTTATAGTCGAAATGGTCTGCGATGAAAGAAACGTTGTCGATCATTCTGCGTATCAAATCAGGGTGCATTCCTCGTAGATGAGCCAATTGTGACAATCGCATCTGAAAATGTCTCAAACATTACCATGCAGATAGTTTGTTTGACTAAATTCTTTAGAAGGGTGTAGAATGAAGGTGGTGCCGTTTAGCATGTGCCGGGCCGGAGGATGAAAATCTAGGATCTCATGACTCCAGGAAATAGTGCCTTCCATTTCTAATCGTTAGACAGTATCCCCCGTAAATCATACGTTAAGCCAAAATGCAGTAGAATAATCTGCAGATTTGAGTGCAAGTAGAACTTATGGCCCACCCGAAAAGGATCGATCGATTTTGGATGATTTGTCATTCCTTATTCTTTAGTTATATTTCTCGCTCGAATCATAGCTAGAGTGTTGTTATAATGTGCCATTTTTCCCTCAGAGAAGCGAAAAAGGTTCAAAATCTCACTACTCTTGAGACGGAAAAAAAATGAAAAAGATGTGAAAAATGAAACAAAAAACGATAACGTAAGAATTTGATGGAGAGGTAAACTAATAAGGCAGTAGGAAAATAAAAATATCACAAAAATTGAAAAAATGGAAATCAGAAGGTGAAGTAATAAGATTCTGAGAGAAATTAGCCCTTTAAAATGTCAAGTTTCCTTCGTAAGTCGAAAGATTTTATTGTTGTGGAGTAAACAAGGTAAATCCACAAGGTGATTATCGACTTTTCTAATTATCATAACCTCTCTCGGAAATGTTTTTGTACAGAAGGTGAAGAAGCTGGAACCTCTGATCTGATATCGATTCCGAGGTCGATAACATGTAAATAAATTTCCAAGCTGGTTAATGTTTACCTTGTTTATTTCACCTCTTGTTCGTTTTTTGTCCATCATTGGACAATCGCCGTGGGAACGGTGAGGAAGTATGGTGATGGACGACGAGAAGAATCCAGAAACTGGCCAATTTCTATAAAACAGTGATCACGATGGTTGAAGGGTTATGCGAATACAAATGAGCGCTTGAATGGACTCGAACTTAAATTCAGCAGGTCTTAGTTCCACATACCGTGCAGTAACGATCATGTATTTTTTTTGCTGTGGTTAAAGCAACAACCCAGATCGATTTGGTGGGGCAGAGGTCGATAATGAAATTGTGGATGCACAACTGAGTGAAAATGAAAGAAGAACCAAAGCAAACGAAGCCATCCACAGGTATTCCTCTTTCTTCCTCCTTGAAATAAGGAAGGGGCGGGGCCGGACGAGTTTCTGACTTGCTTGCTCCATGGCTCCACTAACCCGCGCGTATTTGAATTAGCCGCTACGCCGTAATACGCTGCGTATCATGGGGTGTGCGCGAGGTATCTCGTCCGTAAGCTCACATTAGCCGCTACAACCTTAACTTGTAAAGCCCTGGCGCCAATGATAAATCTATGATACTTGTGGGCTACTCTATCCCACTCACAGAACGAATTCCTCGACACGACCTCAACTGGTTCTTGCTTCAAGTGTCAAGCCAACAGGACAACAGTGTTGTACACAACAATAACCTCCACGGTAAGGAGTTGACAAACCACAAAGTCTCAGGAACCCTTACAGCCCGTGTGCCGCCTCGAAAGGATAGAAGAGTTAAGTGATTTAAATAGAGCATTCAATTTGTGACCCTGCAGACTAGGTGCGGGCCATCTAGTGCTTCTACGTACTCTTTCAACCTCATTTGAGCACTGAATTACGAAAAAAAAACCCGAAGTACCTGAAGTACTACTGCCACGGTCACTGATTTCATCTTCCTCAGCTTTTTTGATTCCGATATATTTTGGAAGCGTTTCGATGAAAACGGCTTGCATCCAATGGGGCATGGGATGAGCAGAACCATCTCTAAAAACATCAACGTCAAAAATGGCTCTTCCAGCGCTGGAACCTAGTAGGGGCTTGTGGAATAACGTACCTTCTGTAGTAGTTTAGCGAAAGCACAGATAAAAGAATAGACATTGCGACCAGGAACATTGTGAATAGAAGATATCGTCCTGGAAAAGTAAAATGTTTGGCTCCAGGGTCAGCCGTATGCTCGAGCTATTCAAAAGCGAAAGTGGTATTTGCGATTTTGGAGGGAGGGGGTCGTGACAAGGGTTGACCAGGGTCATTAATCTACCTCTTGAAGGGGGTTGTTTTTGACGTTTTTTTTTACAACTTTGGCCGAGATTTTATGAAAGAAGCAGAAATATGCAAATTTTAAGACATATGTACTCTCTTCCTTCTCCGCCCTGTCTACGACCATTTCAGAGGGAGAATGTGGGTGGAGTTTGATATGTCGGGTCTCAGAAGCAAATACTATAGAAACGGCCATGATGGTGAGGGGTTGGTCGTAGGTGGGGAAGGACTTGCACTGGGGTTCTTCTGAGGCTGGTGTTGGTAGAGGGGGGGGGGATGTATCGGTTTCCTGTGCTGCCGAAGAGAGTGGAGAGGAATAATGAAGAGAGACCATGTCGGATGTGAGGACGCAGACACCATCACTTCGCATGAGAACGGATTAGGAACAATTTGCTCATGAGAAAGCCCTTGTGCCGATGCCTCGCACCTTCGAGCCGTAAGAACGGCCTATCTGCAACCACCGTGGACAGCTCTATCGCTACCGAGGGATTGATCTTCCTGATTTCATCGTGATTTGCCCCATAATAATAATGAAAGTACGTTGGGCCAAAGAAATTGTCATTGAGGCCGGCTTAAGCCACTTGAGGAATTCTTTGAGAAAAATATTTTTGAATATTTGTGCGATAATAACAGTCGAAACGTACCTATCAGCGGAATAACCAAAGATGTAGGCGGGATCAGTTCAATCAGAACGAGATAGAAAACAGTAAGCGAAACCAAAATCGAAATGGAGAACGTCATCTTGTGCTCAATAGGCGGGATGTAAAATACGAATGTGGTTAAAATAGCTGAAAAAAATGAAAAATTTAAATTATATCATCGATCGATGCGAAGCTCATTTAAGAAGATTTCAGCGCTTTTTTGATTGGTCTTTTTTAAGCTTCGCTGTGGATACACCCAAGCAATCGATCGGTAATTTCTGCACACAAAACGAGGCGTAGCAAACGGCTTCAAAACGCTTCTCCAAAAAGGTCCGAATAACTGATAGTGGCCTTAAAGGCGAGGTCACGGATGAATTGTGCCTTAGAAAGGCAGGTGTAACTACTAGAAAGAATTTGTTGGCTCGTGCAACGAAAGCGAAAACACGATCGATCGACGATGTCTGTTGGTGGCTGAAAGCCAACAAGTCGCAGCAAAGTTGCAAAAAATTCAAACAAAAAACGGTCCTGTAAAAATGAACGTGCTCACCTATCAGCATGCATGGAATGACCAAGTTTACAGTGTAGAATAGAGTTTTCCTTCGTAGAGCGATATCAAAGGTGACATCAATGTAGAAGTCTTGCCCACAACAACCTGGATACAGTTGCTCGTGCGTTGAGACGTTAGGGACATGAGATCCCATTCGAGGCTTCTAAAAATGCACAACGTAAAGGAGGATTTCATCAAGGTCGAAGAAGCGGAAAGGTACTAGTGGAAAGACAGGCGGACCTCGTAAGAGTGTGGACCGATAAGTGATTGATTCGCAGCGAAGGACATGCCCCTGACAATCTAGCATGACCGTCTCCGCGCCGCTATCGCCGCTGCCCGCCCACCCCTTGCCGTCTGGTTCTAGCCGCCTAGCAGAGAGAGCGTTAGCGTTGATGAGGTCAGCACCGATGAGACACGCTTAAGCGCAAATCAACGGGCGAAGAGGGTCCCTTCTCGGGTTCTAGGTTGTTTCTTGGCTTTTTCTCTATCCCTGCATCAATGATCAACTCTAGCTCGATTTCCCGACACACGAAGTGCAGAGAAGAGTCCGCATTCTGAAACCTAGTCAACGGCCGAGAATGGAGTGACACAATTTAGGGAATCAAAATTTAGTAGGCCGAACACGTTATGCGATTTTGCGATGACCGTTGGACCAGAGCGGTTACCGACTGGATCCCTCGGGACGTCAAACGAACACCTGGACGACCGCCGGCCCGATGGTCAGACTTCTTCACGAAAGCTCTAACGAATGGAATGGACGGTTATGTGTACTTCGGGTGGAATAAATTCCCTGAAGGCTCCGGTACGCTTTAAAAAAGATCTCAGAATGAGATCGGAAGGACGAAGGAAAGGGAACTTACCTAGTGAAGAGACAGGTGAACCTTCAAAGGGTGCGGACCGATACGCAATTGATATCAAAGATTTATTCCCGGAGAACTAACATGGCCCAATTGACGTGCTATTGGCCGGTACGCCCCCTCTCGCGTCGTCTCGTGTCTGAGTCTCTAGCCGTTCAGCAGAGAGAGCGTTAGCGTTGAAGAGGGCAGCACCGATGAGAGTCGCATCAATGCGCAAATCAAGCGAGGAAGGGGTCCTGTTTCTCGGCTGACCATCTCTAACTTAATTTTATGGGCTGCCCTTTCGTCGTAAAATCTGACTCAGATGGACGACTGGAGACGTTACTGGTACCCGCTCAAGAGGCCCAGTGATCAGTGGGACCGACAGGTGAAACAGATGATACAGAATCCTTGGTGATCATCAAGTGCAGGTGCTCGACATAACATGTGGTTCTTCTCAAGGATCGGGTTTTGTGGAGGAACTTACTTTTCTCAGATCGGTGACGAGGAATATGGTGCTTACATGAAATCAAAAGCATACTGAACGCAACTTACTGGTAAAATCCGGACAGATCCATGCCTTTCTCGAGATATTGATATTCTTTGCCACTTTCATCTTCTCGATTTATAATAGGCGAATCAGCTGACTGAAGTTTGAGTCTTATCGATTGGAAATCAAAAAGCAGAGCTACATAAAACTGAAAAGTCATTTTGTTGAACGACCCCTTGTTTAATATTGGAATTACCGTAAGTTCCATGAAATATTGCATAAAAATGCCTCCCCTTATTATAAGAGCGCCGAAAGTCAAGGAGAATCCCACGCAAATCCTCTTTGTAGGTATAAGTAGGTTCCTTCGATTAAAAGGCAAAGTCGGGCTCAGATCCACATAACAAGGCTTTACCGTGGCTAGAAGTGCTAGGTGCGCAAGTGCA